TAGAGATGGGGTTTCACCATGTTGACCAGGATGGTCTCGATCTCTTGACCTCGTGATCCACCCGCCTCGGCCTCCCAAAGTGCTGGGATTACAGGCGTGAGCCACTGCGCCCGGCCCAATACCAACTTTATAATGGAGAAGTGTGGTAGACACAACTTTAAGTAATCAAAGTTGACATCATCAACAATGGAACAGATGACAATCATGTGCCTCCTGATATGATGCACGGAAGGGCACAACGCTGCTCCTGTGGTATGCTTGCACAAAATGCATGAACTCAGTTTACTCATGATAGGACATTAGAAAAAACTACATTGAGGGACTTTCTGCAAGCTAACTGGCTCTGGCCCTCCATAAAAGTGCCAAGGTCATGAGAGACAGAAAAGAGTGAGAAACTGTTCCAGAATAAACAAGACTAGGAGACCCAATAAATAAATCCAACCGGATCCTGGACTGGATTCTGGACCAGTAAAAGGACATGAGTGGGACAACTGGTGGCATCTGAATGAAGTCTGTGGATTAGATATTACTGCACCAATGTTAATTTCCTAAATTTGATAAGCTACTCTGGTTATATAAGATGTTGACCTTTGGAGGAACTAGGTCATGGGCCTCTTTCTAGTAACTATACTGTTTTTGCAACTTCTAAATCTAAAATTATTTGAAAATGAATGCTAAAAAATTTTAAAAATAAAATCCTTAGCCTATGACAATGCCTAATACACAGGAGTCATGCAATAAGTTAACAAATATGCACTACATGGGAGGGCCTAGGGGAAGGTGCCATTTCTTATGAGGTTCCCTTCACGGGCCTCCCTCAGTAGCTGACCTTTAACAAACCCATAGGAAGTGAGGGCTGAAGCCCAGAGGAGACCCAAGGGAAGGATCTTCCAGGTAGAGGGCACAGCATGGGACCACGCCTGTAGTGTTTGAGGAGTGCTGGAGACCCGCTGAGTCATAATGAGCTGGTGATGAATAGGGTATCTCCAGACACATAGGTTGGGCCACTGGGGAATTGGCAGGAGCAGCAATGGATGTTAAAGGGACCTCTGGAAAGTCAAAGACACTGTCCTGGTTGCTAATGGCAGAAAAGCACATAGGAGGGTGAGGCTAATGTCAGTTCAGAGGCACGGTGATTAGCTGTCAGGGGCCTCAGAGATGCGTGTGTAAAGGCAGGGACAGTGTTGCAGGCAAGACACAGCCCAGGTAGAGGCCTGGTGTGTTTGGTGGACGCGCTATGGCTGGAAGGGATACAGTATAGGGAAGGGAGGCTTGAAGTGGGGAATCAATTCACTCAGAGTCCTGCCCAACTCACCCAGGCCAGCAGCGTCTCCTTCTCGGCCACATGGTAAATAAGGCGCAGGGGTCGGGAGGTGCTGTGAAGGCGAGCATGCAAGCGGTGGTACAGGTCCGACAGCCGCTGCCGCTCCTCCTCTCTGCTGTAGGGGGCCTCTAGCTCGGGGCTGCCATGATGGAGAGAGGTGGAGGGCAAGGTTACTCCAGCGCATTCTTGGCTGGGCCATTTCCTCCCTCAATCTAGAGATCTCAATCAAGTTAGGGAGCTGAGCCTCTCCCTTGAGAATTGTG